GGGGGGGGGGGGGGGGGGGGGTAATTTGCTCCCGATGAGCGAAACAAACTGCAAACGAAAACCACCAAAAATATGAAGGTAATGGATGTGTTGCCTAAAACAGTTGAGCATTTTTTCTGGAATTTCATTACTAACTATTGTATAGCATGAAGAACAGTAAGAAACAAGGAAATAAACTGAATCCTCCAATCAAACAGTCATTTTTGCAGCTAGTCACGCACATCGATGCGGAAGATGATGACTGGAAGTTGAGTGACCTGTTTGTTTCTATCGAGAACTGTCAAAAGCAGAGTGCAGAATGCCGCAGGCCGACCTGTCATACGTTGTGGGTCAGAAACGTGACAGCCGCGTGTCGAACACCTCTGTGTTTGACTATCGGTGCCTCTGAAGCATTGCACGAGTCTGGTGGGAACATCAGATCAGTAATGCTGAGTTAAGTAACGTGGCTATCCACGCTCGATATACCAGTCGGTTACACTGGTTAGGCCATATACTTCATATACCAGAGGACTGTTTACTTCGTAGAACCCTCTGGGTCCAGTCTTGGATCACATGGAGACGATGAGATGGGAGGCGGTTAGCCCACGATTTGGCAAGGAAGCAGTCAACTGAGTCGCATTGATCCCCATATGGGCACCGCCGGATGAGACAGACCAATGGTTAGTTGCCCTGACAGATTACGCTGTGGAACGCAATGTCGGCCTCGTGGTAAAGCTATCTAGTACATTGCACAGCTCACAATTTTTTGCCATACTGAACAAACAGACACACGTCACCAACGAATATATTGAGCGCCATCGCCTCCAACGCGTGGCTCTCATCCCCTTGTCCTCCGTATCCTCAAAAAACGAAACCGTAGCATCTGGAAACACTTCACTTCGGTGCGCTGTTCGTGGGCTGAAAAACTGAGATGAACTGATTGACTGGCGAAGAACCAAAAATTACGGACGAGATTGCCACGAATCCGCCTCATACACATCGGCGGTCACAGTCCTTGAAAACATTCTAAACATCGTCATCATCATCGACAGCATGACATCACTGGTCAACACCGATGCTTCACTGCCGTACAACCATGACTTATTTGAAAACCTTATTGTAAAGAAAAGGACTGGGAAGGGACTTAGTGCTAGCTTACTACAATCATTCCAAGGTACTACACTTCAAGACACATTCAGGAAATCTGGATAGAAACTGACAACACGACAGCCACTGACATCGGTTGGCAGCCATATTTTGTAGTGTCTCCAACCAGGCGCAGTGAGGATCACGCGGTCCCCATCCTGGAAGGCAAGTAGCATCGACAGCACCCGAGCGTTTCGTGATCTCCTTCATACTCCTCTGCCAAGTCAAGGGTTGGCCACCTCTCTGCTTACACCACTCTGAATTGGGCATGGAAAACAGCACTCTCTTCAGCAAACGATGGTTCGGCATACGCAACCCATGTCCCAACCAACGCAGCTTCTGGTGCTGGACACATTCTTCAATGGAAGTACCCGTTGCAAAACCGAAAACGCGCTTTCTAACTGCCTCATTACGGATTCGCCGACACCAACCCACACGAGCTATGGTTCTGAGGCAACGATTGTCGAACACCTGAAGATGTCTCAGTTCCGCTGCTCGAATAGGCTAGGTCTCACAGCCATATAACGAAAGACAACCTGTACTGTAGCTTGATACACACGTCCCTTGAGATTCAGGGATACACCACTCTGACGCCATAGGTGTCTCAAATTAGCAAACGCGACCCGGGCCTTGCAGATTCGTGCATTGACCTCATCCGTTACATTACAGCTGGAACTAATATAACTTCCAAGATACGCAGTAATCCCGTTTCGAGCCCACTGTAGATCCACTTGACACACGAGCTGTTACAACAACATCATACGTTGGAAAGAACCCCCTGACCTCGACAGGTGTTCGTCGGCCTATATAGACGAATTCGCAACCGAATCGATCGGTTCCTCTGAAAACTGAGTATTTGAAATTGCTTTGTAAGTGAAGGTCATTCAGATGTCATGAACTGCACTCGCGGGATAACAGAGTGAGTATGAAGTGGAAAAATACAACACAACAGCTGGAATATCCTGATATCAACGTACTTTCTTCGTGGCCTTGGCGGCATTCAGTTTCTCACGCGAGGGAAGGAGTGAGGGATCAGTAGGGTGACGATTGAGACGAACTTTGACCCCGCCAGCAGGATGATCACGAAAAGACGCTGATTCCTGTTCGAATGAGGGCTTTAACGGATGCACAAAGAAATCACAGTAGTATGTGTGTTATTATAAGCAACAGGGAGAAAAGAATACGATGAACCGTTTTAGGTAGGTGGTAAAAGCACCCGAAGAAGTGTGGATCCGGGTGCACGTGACTACTACTGAGAGTCGAAGTCAAAAGAAATGGTGTGTATCATAAGCAATCTACAACGTGACAAAGCCCGTTTTGCCACATTGCCACCAAACCACCCGAAGGAGAGCTGAGATAGTGTCAGGCTGCCCAAGCCTAGACAGGAGCAGTCGAGATGCCTGGAGCCTGGATTCGAACCATGGATATTCCGGTTAGTAAGTTCATGTCTTAATCACCGAGATATCTTGAGTTAAGACAGAGCGGTGAGGGTAAGGATCGAAGGATAATATGACAGCCTGACCTATAGCATAAAAACTCTATTGATGCTAAGCACTAATCGTTTGACGGAAACCGTAAATCAGTGGCAGCAGTTTGCTGAAACGTAACAGACCTGTGAACAAAGGTGATGCGGAAAAAATATGTGCATCGGTGTGTGGAAATTTGATGCATCTGATCCCGTTGGAGACAGCTAACTGAAAGGAGATCGTTTGTTGGGGAGGGGGCACGAAAGGATAACGTAAATGTTCGCACCACTTAAAACTGCGAAAGGTACACTTGATTGGTGCACGAGGAATGAACCGACATGCGACAGCACCTCCCATAGTCGTCACAAGCGACATCAAAGGAGCGGTTCGCTGAACAACGCCGTCGAAGAGATGTCCGAACGCCAGCTGCTCTTAATAACCAGATATCACGTCGATCGGATGATGCGTTAAGTGCAGGCTAGGGACTGAACGAGGGCATGTTCTGATTGGTCTCAATGTCAGCCAATCGGCATCGAGCATCACAGCTCGACATTTTCAGCTCGAGCGGCGCTATATCCTGCCTAAGTGCGAGTTATCAAACTACCCGATCAGCCGCTCGTGGCCGAATGGTTAAGTGTTCAACTACTAGCCAGGAGGTCGCGGGTTCGAGACTTCCTACCGGAGTTTCGTGAGATGCGCACTGCTGATGATTCCCAATAAGGATGAAACAGCTGTACAGTGCTTCTCGGCTTTTCAGCATAGATTGGCTTCACTTACAGGACGAAATCTCCACATTTCTAGCTCCCTCACGAAGGTTTTAGCGCGAGCGTGTGGAACACTCTACGATGACTCTGCAAATACAGTTGCAATAGTCTTCCTTCTGATAAACCACAGTGGATGGAGCACGAAGCCAAAGACTGACAGAGTTCGCACCACCGTTTGCAGTATATAACAACTGGTTTTTTCCTCAGATACTACGTTGTATCATGGGGCCTAAAATGAATAATCACTCACGTATGTACTCCTACTATGGCGTCAATGTTGACCTAAAGACCCAGCGGCATAGAGAAAATGACTGAAAGTTGATGGGGCACCTGCCAACGCATCTACATTTGGTGCGTAGTAACCGATCTGTCTGAATAGTTATTCGTGAAAAATCGCTCAGCTGTTACATCCTTTTGGTGCCTAGCTGCTATGTCACCTGAGGGTACCGCCAGGTTGCCAAAGACAGGAGCAGTCGAGATGCCGAAGGTCGGGGTCGAACCATGGACCTTTCGGTCGGTAAGTTAGAGCCTTATCCATTGAGCTCTGCCAAAGATACAGTAAAGTAAGAGTGAAAGGGGAAATGATCAAATCTCACAAGTGATATACCAGTCGAGCAGTTGGCCGAAGCCGACCACGTGATATACATCCGCGATCGNAGTCGCTCTGTATCCTGCATAACTACGAGTTCAGCACACAGCTGAACAGGTGGTTGTTGCTGGACGGTTAAATGTTGAGACTACGAGGCTGGAGGACTCGACCGATTCTCCCGAGTTTCATGAGATGCCCACTGCACGTGAGTCGCAATAAGGATAAAGCGACTGTACAGCTATACAAGTAAGCCTTGCAGACTAGCGTTCATTAGAAGAAACAACCACCAACGACGCACAAGGTACATAAACACCAAAAACGAAGCCAAGAACACTTGCAAGCGATATGTAGTGTAGGCGGCGACAACTTTCTGGAATCTCTGACGCCTTCGGGATAGGCGATTGCCAACCGACGTTCGGACAGTACTGGGTCATGATTGATTGTGGGGTCCACACTTTCGACCAATCAAATCCCGGCAAGCGTCCCGAACTTTTGACGTATCTTGCGCAGGACAGACTTCTCGGCCGTAGCAGCACCTGACTGTGAGCACTAAGCGGGATCCATGTGGAATTCCATCTAAAAGCAGTACTTCCATGTGTAGATTGGCTCGTCTAATATGACGAAACCTCTATCTGAAGTTCTGAAACCTCCTCATACTACCAACAGTGATACTGGTTGTTTTTATGTTGACATAGACAAGCCTGAGAAATGAATAATCCGTTTCGGTTTCACGCTAGCACGACGCGGACATTCACCTCAACGTTGAAAATGAGGGCGTTTTGCGAGGAGTGCTGTGGCAGCCCAGCGGTACATTTAGCTCAAACATCATCCAGCTGTAGGACGCTTTCTGTGACTAACTGGCATGCCATTTGAAGGAAGCACGGGGCTGGGATACGGTTGCCCAAGCCTAGACAGAGGAAGTCGAGAGGCAAGGTCGGATTCGAACCACGGACCTTCCGTCAGTAAATTCACGCTCTAACCACTGAAACACCTCGCCCCCTCGCACATTTAGCTCAAACGTACAACTGATACTCTAATGTGAATTCTTCTGGATTCTGAGTCTTATTTTTCGACGTTCTGATCACCTCAGCTCATTGACCTCATTGCACTTTAATTGAGCATCCCTCGACCAAAAGATGATGATTAGAACTTAGCAGTGTGTCCACAGATGACGGGTCGCCTTGAATAGAGGAGCTACCGTAGAAGGGATTTCCAGGTTATCGATTAAAGAGTATCGTCGCAGTAATATCTAAGCGGGAATCATGAAACTTACCTTTGCAGGCTCCAAATTTTCCGATTCGCCCAGCTGAGGGCTGCACGCCCGCCGTCCGCTGTCCGGACTGGTACAGTTGGTTCCTATTGTGCTCAACACGGCCAGAAGGGCGTCTAATGCGAGGAAGTGCGTGCTCATCAGGCGTTCGACGGGATAGGCATTCTTCGCCAGCATTTTGGTGATGTCCTCGAAAAGATTTGAGCAATACGGGTCACAGTCGTAGTTAACATAGAGTTCTGTTGCCATACCGGGGACGAGAAAGATGCGGACCACGGAATCCAGAGCGACCTCACGACGTTCATAACCAGTTGATTCGTTGTCCGGTGAACTGATTGCAATGAGACGCTGAAGGTAGACCTGAAAGCCCGAAAAATAATGGACTACATGCCACAACTGGTTACGAATACATTAGGCAGTTCATCTCCTTTTTATTTCATTCATAATTTACCCATAATGATAATAATGTTAATAATCGTTCAGGTGTAACAAACACCCTTTCGGTGCCTAGCTGCTCTGCCATCCAAAAGAAGCACGAGGACTGGGATACTGCCTAAATGGGAGCAATAAAGATGTCGGGCTTGCGCGGACCTTGCGGTCAGTAGGTTAGAAGCTGGACCATCCTGAAATCTTGCTCGGTGATGTCCAGTCCGTAGTTCGCGGGCCATCTTAGAGCGACGAGGAACAAGTGGTGCCAATCGTCTTGTTAGGACTGGATTAAGGCGTTCAATACGTCCTTTTTTTGAGGACGGGCATCATAAACTATTCATCTGTATTGTCTAAGATGCGGTTTGGAGGTCGATGATATATGAAAGAACACAGACAGTCGTGAACCTCCGAAACCTCGATGGCTCCAGGTTCACAGTGTAATGCGAGAATCCGACTGAGGAGCAGCAGGTGGCCATGAGAATCGTTGTTCAAAGTGCTCAGCTAGCGGCCAAGGTGTCATTCCTTGTTGATGGTCACGCTAGTTTAGCTCTTGATGGCTTCGAAGACGGGAAGTTCTCCGAGGCTTGTAGCACGGATCCATCGAAATAATTTCCGGGCATTCTTCACCTCTTTTATTTCCCAGCCTTCCACGTCCACAAGGCCTTAAGGTCAGCGCGCGCTGAGTTTAACTTGACGTCTGATAATCAAACTGGCTGAATTATGTTCGGAACCGGCGGGGACAACTCCGGAATTCAAACAGCTTCACTATTCTTCATGATTTCCAGAGCTTGAGTGGAGCTGGCAGTTCCATACTGGTACAGTATTATGGCGATCTGGGTTCAGTACACACCCGATGGCGGAGCAGTTAGAAGAGACTGTAGAAAATGATTCCCAGCTTAACCACTGAACAACCTCGGGCTCGTTCGTTCAACAATAACACCGAATCATGCAACATACACGCAAACGATGATGATGGTGATGCATGGAAACTTGAAAACTGACCTCCAGTTGCAGCTTCAAATGTTTTCTCATTGATTCGAACAGCATAAAGCAGACACGTAACGTGGCAGCAAATAGCCAGACACGATCCGAGTACAGCAACTGTAAAGATACGGTGAAAATGGACGCATGTCAATGAGTAAACAAAACTAACACAGACGGCAAGGTACATATTATATTGCAGAAGCTATCGTGTGGGCTATGTTGGTGGGATGTGTAAATCTACGTACGGTGGCAAGAGGTCATGACCATAATTTTGTTTGACTGTAATAGATGACCAGAGGTGAACCACTCAAATTAATCGAACATTACGTTGATTGGACGGATGTGCCGGGAGTCAGCTACGAAGCGAACGAAATCATACCCCGATTGGTCAGGATGCCAGCCAATCAGGATCGAGTTCGGCGCATCCGGACGCTCACTGTTTTTAAGGGGGCATTGTGGAGATCTTAAATAAATTGTCGTAATAATTTCCCTTGGTATCCATAAAAGCCTGGCCCAAGCTACTGTAACCTTCGGCACAACATAGTGGGCAGAGCAGAATGTCAAGAGTTGCAATATCAATGATACATTTGACTGACGCATGATATTAAGGATGCAAAAACTGGTCGTCTTTTTCACGGAACTATACAGAAGTGGCACACTGCCACAGGGGACGCATGCGCTTAACAAACTGCTCAGTGCGAACGGAAAAAACTCACCAAAAGCAAATTTTTCGTCAGATCTCCTTGAACCAGTCGTAACAGACTTGGGGAACTGGCGATCGCGTCCGCCCCGGTTTCCAAGGCAATAGCGATAAGTCCGAGGGCGACGGAAATTATCGCGTCAGAATTGTGATCCGGTGAGAGCAGACTGATGAGGTAGTGAAGAAGATCATACACGGCTGGTAGACCATAGGGTTGTGGTGTTGGATTCCCCACTTCTGCTGCGGAACACGAAAAGAATACAGTTGAAGGATTTAGGCGCTTTCTTAAGCTTTCTCTAAGTCCCTTTGTGTCAAGAATCGTCGGGAACCGAAAACGGAAACATGCAGTCAATCCAACCAAGATGGGGAAACATCTTAAAGTTATCTTAAAGCACTATTCAATACAAGCTCAGTATTCACAACGCAACGTAGGCAATATATCGAGATATTAGCGGTTCACGTGCGTTCGGCGAACTTGGTGATTCACTTGCAGACGCTTCCTCGCCATCATCAGTGTGCGGTTAGCTACCAAACCGTTCAGCTGTAGCACCCTCTTGGTGCCTAGCTGCCGTGCCGCCCGAAGGAAGCACGAGGGCTGGGATACTGCCAGGTTGCCCAAGCCTAGACAGGGGAAGTCGAGAGGTAGAGGTCGAGTTGGAACCACGGACTTTCCGTCAGTAAATCCGCGCTCCAACCATCTCGCCCCAGCTACCAATACTTCGACACATTGCCAATGATCAATGGTGAAACTTCGGTGTGCATGCGAGTCATGAAATGCCGCGTTCCCCGGAGTTTGTGAAGTGTGTGAAACTCCCTGTTTGGGTGATTAGTTGATTATTCTTCATTCTTTTCTTCTCCATGTTCTGGTGCAACTGATTCTATCGTGTCCCCGTTGTACACTAGTCATTCCAGTTTATGACAATGATAGATTCTCCTGTGATCATCGTCATCATCAAAGACAGCAACATCAGTGAGGCACGGAGAACAACACCCGTCTCGGTAGACGGTGTTTTGGCATGCGTAGCACACGACCGAGTCATTGCAGTCGGTGGTGCTGGATGTTTTTCTCAAATGAAGTAACCGGCTAAAAATGCTCTCATCTCATTGTTCAAGGAGCCCCCAATATGGGGTGCATTGAAGAGAGTATACTTCCGTGATCTCGCTCTAATTTTCTCATTTTACGTGAGTAGGTCTGAAGGTTTCAAATAGGAGGTTTCAGTTCACCGGAGGTTGAGACTAATATTTTCGAGCCCGACGTATTTACAAACTTGGCAATTAGCTTGCGAGGATTTCGTCATCAATCGTGGAGACATTATCGGTGCACAGTTGCCTGGATACATCCTCCCTATCTGTTTGCAATCATATAGTTAAAAAATAGTGGTTTGTATCTCTCCATGTGATTGGATTATTGAGAAAAATCTTTGTCGTAACTGCATTGGCCGGTTCACAATCCGTTGTGGTTCGGATATCTTGTATTTGATTGGCTCGTTGAACGGCTTCCTTCTGGAAGATTTACTAACAGTTCTGCCTGGTGCGTCCACAAGCTATGCTGTGGATTTCCTTGGACATCGTGATACCCTCTAGTTTTAACAGTTTTATTTCCGGGTTCTGGTTGGCTCGTTCCTAGTTTCCACTGTGTTGTAGTTTGATTTCATTGAGCTTCATTGGCTGACTGCACTCCCAGGTCTTTTTCTCAATAGCCCCTGATATCTGCGTTTGACCGGTTAATCAGATTATCTTTTGTCTTCGTTTCGGTCCTTTTTGTTAACTGATTACAAGCACATTCCAGTCCACTCGAATAAACCCCTAGATTCGGGTATCGAGGTTACCAAACGTGCCGAAACGGAGCACGGCTGGTGGATGGAACAATCAGAAGTGGAGTGAAGTTCACCAAAAGAAAGCTATTGAACGATCCAATCGAATATAAGGTATTCGGACCACAACGCAGCACAAATCGCAAACCGACCAATGGAATTACGACAAAGTTTTTCCTCGTGCAGCTATTTTTTTATCAACTATATAAACGAAAGCAGGTAATCCGGAAGTAAACACTCAACAGTGAACTGATAGTGTTCACACTATTGAAGACGAAACGTTGTCAAGCGAATTGCCAAGCACAGTAAACATCCATAAATTCCCGGACCCATAAAATGGGAAGTACTCTAACTTTATCATCCTTCTCCAGATAGTCCTAGCCCGTGGGTATCACGTTCAATCGGCAGTGGGATTCACAAAGTATTAACTGCGCAAAAATGTTCTGATAAGGTCATACAACTTACTTTGATTTGCGGGGGGCAAGGTGGTTTCCGTTTTCCTTGAACCCTGAAAAGCACGACAGAGAATAAAGTCAAACTGAAGCAGTTAAACAGTACACTTGGTAGGGCCGCTGGGTTACCCATGGTGACACTGGTGCGATGGTGCTTCTTGAAAATCAAAGCAAGGGGCAAGGTGGTTTCCGTTTTCCTTGAACCCTGAAAAGCACGACAGAGAATAAAGTCAAACTGAAGCAGTTAAACAGTACACTTGGTAGGGCCGCTGGGTTACCCATGGTGACACTGGTGCGATGGTGCTTCTTTTAAATCAAAGCAAAATCAAGCAATCAATCGTTCGTTTGTAACACCCTTTCGGTGCCTAGCTACCACACCACCCTAAGGAAGCACTAGGGCTGGGATAGTGCCAGGTTGCCCAAGCCTAGACAGGGGAAGTCGAGAGGCAGAGGTCGGATTCGAACCACGGACCCTCTGGTCAGCATATTCGCACTCAGGCCACAAACAAAAGCACACGCCCGTCAACTGGGAGGGGTAACTAAAGTGGCTAAAGGGGAGAGTGTCCCTTCAAAATCTGAATACGATGCATTACTCGGTACGTTTATTCAAGGACTACTAATAAATTAAGAAGTAGCGAACCAATTATTGGTTTCTGAAACTCAGAAATACAGGAACCTACCGATACGAAGTTTCAAGCTGTCCGTGTACAGCCCAGAATCCTGCTGGGCTACGTTTCATAGCTTGTTCCACACCACATAAAACTCTAACCCCAACAAATCTGACGATGTGAGAAAATGTCGGAGAGCGCTAAAATTTTCTGCATTGCTATCAATGCTCTATTCCGGGCAGAATACTGTAGTCTCGACATCACTAAGTGTCTAGACACAAAAGATGTCGTTTTTGTTCAATTTAGCACAGTTTTCAAATGTTCGCGATGGTTCCTCGCTGGAGCAGTAGCGAGTTCCACTCAGGTAGACAGGCTTAGTTAAACAGAATGGCAGCACCGGTTTCGCCCCTCTTGGGGTCCAGCAGGTAAGCGCAGTCCCACAGTTTCCGTCAACCGTACGTTCTACTTTCCTTTATGAAAATGTACTGCGATATCTCGAATATCGTGCTAACTGAATCACGAGGCCAATCAGTGTATTTCTCGAAAACAGTCCAATTTGAGTTCAAGTAGATCATAAGGTTGACGGAAACTCGGGGACTTCGCCTACCTGATGAGCCCGAAGAAGGGCGAAACCGGTCGTGGGCTGTCGAAGAGCTTTCAGCAACCTTGTGAGTAGATTCCTTCATGAAAATATACTGCGATATCTCGAATATCGTGCAAAATGAATCATGAGGCGGCATGTGTGCACCACATTCAGTTGTAGAATATCATAAACGAGAGATTCCGTTGGGGCGAATTACAGCGGGAGCACCGTCGTATATGTGTATAAATTTCGGGCGAACTTGGGGAGCGATAAATCAGTTAGCACGCACAAAGTCTAACTGGCCAATGGGAAAGAGGTGCGATCTTTTTGGACTGAGGTGCAATATGGCGGGAAAAGGCGCCGAAGTTAGAAATTCAAAATTTTAGAAAAATAAATTGGCAATGGCTCGAAAAATAAACGGATTTTGGGGATACTGACATTCCCAACACCCACAGAGCGAGCACATCCGCTCAGTCAGACGTTAGTAATCAGATACTTCAGATGGAGTACGGATATCGATTTGAACTCACGCATAGCTAGCCCGAATTCAAATCCCCGCACTGAGGAACTCGAGTCCACTGATTCTCTGCTTCAGTGTGGGCCAGTCAGAGTAATCAGGCCACGGCAGGATAAAACATCTCCCATATCAACAATCAATATGCCTAACTCTTTCCATGATAACCCCATAGAGGCTTTAGACCCTGGTGAAAGAGTTCCTCGCGTATTCCAATTGTAATAGTGACAACATAGAAGACAGAACAGAAACAATGACTGAAGAACCTGGTCGGACTTTGGTAATAAGCCCGAAATGAGATGGAACATCTCAAATCACGCAACTCCGAGAAAGACTCACCTCCATATCGTTTTGTGCAATGGCTTCACATGTCTCTTGTGTTGCCTCCTCAGTGTGTACTTCCAGTGTATCTGTAAGAAACGGCAAAGTTCTTTTAAAAGATCAGCTGTTACAAACACACAAGAAAGAGGCTGATGCCATATTATCAGATGGCACAGTGGAGACCGTACTCAAGTGAATGAGACAAACCGGTTACCCTGTTGAGTAAGCAAGTGTGGACAATCAGTATATCAGACTGGGGACCAAGCAGCGTGGAATCAGAAACTACAAAACCGTTACTATTTGGAGAAGGCCCCCCACTACCCGACTGCGCAACGGGCGGTTCGAGTGGTTGTCATCGAGTACTATGGAACAATCAGCTCATGTAACTGCTGGATGAAGCGCTGCCCTCATAACGAACATTTATCACCCAAAAACTAGCCCATGACGCAAAAAAGTGCAACGGGCTGCTGTCCAACTGCTTAGTCACACGAAAATGTTCTCACCTCTGTTGAGGCTCACCAGGTTGTCTGAGAATCAAAACAACCAACGGATGGATTTGATTGCGCAGGAAAGACCTGCAAGCAGGGGTCCATGTGACTGAGGAAGCTGGATTTAAATTGGTGAATCTGGGAGTTCACCCACCTGCACTTTCCCAACAATATGTATTTTCACCGTGTGCCTACACACAGTCTTCCCTAACGGTTTCTCAGGTTCTTGTAATAAACTCGTACTACGGGGTCTCAGCTATTTTGGCTTACGTTCAATTTCCCTCGATAGAACAGATATCTTTGTTGTTTAACGATCACAGAATGGCGATGATGCATTCTCTCTTTGTCAAATATTCATTGTTAATAAACTCAAAATTCAGCCCAAACATACCGCAGGAGTTTGGATTCTCAACGACTTCAATGTCCGCAATGGTAGGCGGACCGCGATGCCTTCCTCCACGGACCCTGCGGCCGAGTTTTTTTCCAACATCAGCTCCTCTGTCCAACTTTTTCTGCTTCCAAACCTGAGTTCCTAATCACAGCAGCAATACTTTCCACTCAATGTACCACGGTGAGCTCCCTTTGGTTCTTAAGATTACTGACTTATCGATTTCCCCCGCTTGCTTCTCTTCGGAAAACACAGTTTCCCTTCTTGTTATTTGTCGTGGAGATACTTTTCTGCTGACTGGGATGACATTTTAGTTAATTTAAGATTTATTTGACTGAAAATTGATTTTTTCAACAATTATCCCTGGGTGTGTATTCCTTTAGAGGATCCCTCTCTGATGACATGATCCAATCCATTCTTCATTTTCAGACCAAGGGAAAAAAACACCCTTCGAATGGTTCAACTATGCGTACCTGAGAGGGGGGTGGGGTAATGAGGGAAAGCTTTGGTGGATATACTCCTGTGCCTCGCAACGCTCTGACTACCTTCCCGTACTTAATACTTGCTCATCTATGGTCAACAGGGTCACAGATAAAGTTACTGAACGGGAGTCGATCTTTTTAGATGCTGATTCCATCCCACAGAAGCCCCAGATCCCCGCCGTCGAAAAAGTACATAACGTTGCTCGACAACTGTCCTCTATTCCTGTCTCTCCTAGCTCTGTACAGGTAAACACTGCCGTTCCGACTGTCTGTTATCGTCACAAAGGTGTTCGCTTGTAGCGGTCACTTGCATTGTTCCTTAAACCAAATTCGCTTAATTTGTGTGGTACATCCGTGCTCACTAGATCACGCGACTCTTTTGTTCCGCAAACGCACAAATCACGTGACAAAACCCTGTCCCGCTCGCAACCTAAGCCGACACGTCATTTCCCGTCTTGTAAGCATTGAAACGATGCCATGTATTATATACACGTTAAACGTTCCTATGTATATAGGGAGACACAAAACAGTCACCACATACATGCCCACGCGTGTGCAGGGGGGTAGAGAATCAACTAAACTCCATGGACCGGTACGGAACAAGTGTAGCAGCTATACTGCGGAGAAAACACGTTCTCGCCGTCCGGATATTCACCCAGGAACTCTCACGAGTTATCCACGAACAATACGTCGCCTTTTGACTAAATTCCATTGTTCGTACTGTACTTATTTTATCATGGTGCAACTTGTAACTATCTACTACTAACTACTACCTACCACAGTAAGAACTGTGACAAATGCACACACCTTGTGAGATCAGCTGTAGCACTCTTCGGATGCCTAATAGTCATGCTACCCGAAGGTTGCACGAGGGCTGGGATACTGCCAGGTCACCCAAGCCTAGAGACAGGGGAAGTCGAGAGGCAGAGGTCGGGTTCGAACCACGGACCTTCCGGTCAGTGAATTCGCGCTCTAACGGTTTGGACCATCTCGCTCCACATCGCTATCATCGAGTTCCTCAGTACCAGAGAAACCCACAACATCCATTGCACCAATACGCAACATAAATGCCGCGTCTGTCCACCCTCCACCACTGCACGCATCTGTTCGCCAACCAGTCACTCCATCAGCAATGTGCTGATGGTCTACATAACGCTTCAAACCCCGGCGTACAATCAGCTCCCAAATGCATTGTCCAACTTTTCTTCATATGGTCGAATACAAACCAAGACATACAATCATCGACAAAAAAGTTGTCTAGCATGGAATACGCTACCTTGTGTCACAACATCGATCACCTCCTATCCATTACTCCAACTAGTTTCCAAAGTTCGTGGATCAATTTTCACGAGACAAATCCTCCACCCTCTAGAAGGCAACCATCAATGCGGATTCAGGAATCATCGTTCCACCGATGATACGTTGGCTCACGTGTAGCACTGTCACTGAACATTTTTGATGAAACGGATGCAAGTTTGATGTGTCTTGGCAAGTCCTCAATGCACGGCGACATACAGAACCGTCCCATGCAAGGATGAATGGACGTTAGCCATCAGACTCAGAAACTCGGTGCTGGAGTCCACAAGACTGCTCTTCGTTTAGCTGAACGGCCTCTCGTCAACCGTTACCTTGTAGCCATGCCTTCTCCCACATACATGACTGTACAGCCCACCGCCACTGAGTAGATCACGATACCTGTTTCTTTCTTACGCTCACAAATCACGCCACACAATCGTGACTAATTGACCACACAAAAGTTGCCCTACATGACTGTACAGCCCACCGCCACTGAGTAGATCACGATACCTGTTTCTTTCTTACGCTCACAAATCACGCCACACAATCGTGACTAATTGACCACACAGCTCAAAGTTGCCCCTAGATCACAGGACTCGCTTTTTTCTCTACATGACACATTCGATATTGACTGCCTACCGTCTGATGAGTGTAGCAACAAGTCACGTACTGAAACCCACACACACGCAAACGTCCCTACATATAGGATAACAGCACAGCAAAGCAACACAACTCCACAGAGCTACGCACGTCGCCCAACTCGGAGCAGAGCCACTCAGGACTTACGGTGTTTCAACCACGGATATTCAGGAATACGTGTGGGTGATACAACAGCGAAGAAGACACGAAACCGGCTTCCGGACTTAAAACGGGATTTGTCAACCTATACCTGCAATACGATAAGTCCCTTGTTCAAATATTGTAATCACTCTACTTCACAAAGCTGTCATTGTTAGTGCTCCCCGTTTTCTGTCGGAACACACGATGAAGTATTCGGAATGCGAGATCAATGACACCAGAGCTTCGACATATCTTCTGCTAATTGATTCACATGGGAGGGTGAATTCGTCGGCGTTTCTACACTGGACGAAAAGTATTCCCCGCAAAGTGGTTCCGAAAACTAACTCCGCTGGAGAACAATGCAACCAGGAACGAAACAGGGCGCCTAGTTGTAGCACTGTCACCGGTTCCATGTCGTACCAATTACCGCGATCGTTGTTAATTATGATAGCGGACTTCAAGTGACGATGAAACCGTTCAACTAATCCATTCGCCCGAGGAGTATAAGCCATCGTACCCATCCATTCGTCACTTTCGACGTTTGTTAGGAGGTCGCGAATTTCACGTCTATATACCGATCACAAGCCACTGACTTCAGCACTAAAAGCAACACCAGACAAGTACTCTCTCCTCGCGAAATTCACCATTTAGATTACATTTCACAGTTCACCAACAATATTCGACACGCCTCCGGGCATGATGACAACATAGTTGCTGATACCTTGTCAAGGCCGGCAGTAGGTGCGGTAAATCGTACGCCCGGCATCGATCTCAATCGCACGGCAGTACTTCGAGAAAGGGAATTATGTTCGGCATCACTAAGTTCGAAGTCATCCCTGAATATACAGCCGATGCCGCTACAAACCACACCAGGAACTATGGAGTCTGATGGTGTGGGGCAGTTAACCCAAGACGCCTGGTCTAACCCTCCATGTGCCGACAAGCTTTCGAGTCATTGCATAACGTTTCACATCCACGAAGTATACGTCCAACGCTCAAACTCATCTCCCAGCGTTTTGTATGGCCGGAAATGAACAAGGACACACGCGAATGGACTAGGATCTGCCTAGCATGTCAACGTCCTAAGGTTATCCGGCATACACCATCACCCATGGGAGCTTTCGCTGCTCCTGACAGCAGATTCGATCACGTAGACTTGGATATTGTTAGTCCTGTACCCCCATCCAACGGCTACTCCCACATACTCACCATCGTAGATCGTTTCACTCGATGGCCAGAGGCCAATCCCATCAAAAACATATCTCCAGACACAGTTTCTCGTGCGTTTGTTAGCCGATGAATTTCCACATTCGTCCCACGTTCCCTCGTTTATCACTACTAACCGCGGCTCCCCGTTTGACTGCCAGCTATTCCGGCAACTGACAGAATCGCTCGGTTCCACGCACACTCGTACGATGGCTATACTCCTCGGGGCGAATGGATTAGTTGAACGGTTTCATCGTCACTTGAAGTCCGCTATCATAATTAACAACGATCGCGGTAATTGGTACGACATGGAACCGGTGACAGTGCTACACCTAGGCATCGCTCCTTATTGGACTGTTCACCAGCGGAGTCAGTTTTCGGAAACAACTTTGCGGCTACGTGGAATCAATTGAGGAAAATATGTGGAAACTCCGATATCGTTCATCTCGCATTCCGAATACTTTATCATATTTTCCGACACGTGCTTTTACAGAAGCTCTGATCATGTTAAAAAAACCTTTGTAACGGCCCTTTTCTTGTGATTTTTCGACACCCCAGCAATTTCATTATACAATTTAACAATAAATCTGATACAGCCAGTATTGATCGTTTGAAACCAGCCTATGGAGATTTTGTTGACTAAGGACGTCTTGGAAACAACACCGGCGATGTCAAGCCCAAAAACAATGCGACCGAGGGTTCCCGAAACAAGTCATGCCAGGTCATTAAATGACCAAACCAGAACCACACGCTCAGGCCTTTTATGTTAAGTGGCCACTCACTGGATCACGAGCTCTGGTTTATTTGGACGCCCAAATGATCCCTCACTGGAGCACGTGTTGGAATTCTTCTTTAACAATTTCCAGTCTTCCCGAATGAAGTCGTCTTGGACGTGAGTTCCACGTGTGGTGATATGATCAACCGTGGAGTAGGTCGGTTCTGCCTGATGAACATCTGGCCTTAAGAGCTCTGGAAATGCGCGGATGGTAACGGGAAGAACGGTGTGGTGATAGTGTTATTGGGTAAATGTTGGGCGTAATCGTTGGCTTTCCTCTGACTGCTGATTGAGTGGTGGCGTCCAGTAGACTTTGACGTTTCACGTCTACTAGTAACTTATGGTGAGTCAGAAAATCTGCCCCCAGAATTTGTTGGCCTACGTCTGCAGTGGTGAGAATCCATTTGAATTCTCTACGTAAGCCGAGGTTGAGTGACAGCGCATAGTCTCATCTTATGCCATCCCTAATACCTTGTATGATGTCATTGTGGCTGTGTTCAGTTTTAGCACCCTTTCGGTGCCGAGCTACCATATCAACCGAAGTTTGCACGAGGGGTGGGATACTGCCAGGTTGCTTATGCCTAGACAAGGGTCGGGTTAGAACCACGGACCTCCCGCTCTAACCACTTGAGCCATCTCCCCCGCTTAATCAGACAATCGGGAAAGAAACTCACAGCACGAACGCCCCTGAGGTCGATTAGCCGGTATTCCTTAGAATGTCGGCTTCAGATCATTTCAGGGAGGTCGCGGTGACCCCGTCCTGAAAGCCGAGCCGCACGAACAACACCCAAAGTCTTCGTAACCTATTACACACCGTCCTGCCAAGCCATACGTTGTTCACCTCGCAGTTTGCGCCATTCCGAAGGAGGCAAGGAGAACAACCCTCGTCTCGGTAGACAACGTCCCGGTAGGTGTGGGCAAATGGTTTTGGTGGGCGGCTTCCGCAAATGGAGAACCGAATACCCGTTTTCTAAGTGTCTCGCTACGAATCCGCTTCCAAAACATCGGTGGCCACACGAGCTACCAGTAACTCAATACGACCGACCGAATAGCAACTGAGCATGCGCAAAGAACCAACACAACGGTATTCATCGTGCACCAATCAGTTGTTGTAAAAAATACAGGTGAAAGACAGAAGGACTCTAGGCACCAATTATGCACGAATAACTGCCGATTGGCTAGCTACCTAACACGCCAACTGAAACACACAGACGTTGGGGTTATAGTGAGGGGGCGAGATGGACCGGAAGGTCCGTGGTTCGAACCCGACTTCCCCTGTCTAGGATTGAGCGACCTGGCAGTATCCCAGCCCTCGTGCCTCCTTTGTGTGGCATGGCAGATAGGCACCGAAAGGGTGCTACAGCTGAGCGAACGGGGTTATAGCGGTCACCCACTCACACTCAAATCACGTAACAATTCCTGTCCCACTTGCAACCTTAACCGACAACATGCACACTAACTTCAATTTCCCATCCATTTTGGTTTACGCAGGGCTACCACCTGCGCCAGGCTTACGAACTTCAATCAAATCAGGTCAGGTTGTATTGAAACTCGAATGGACACCCCTTTCTTCACATTCGACACAATAAAAAGGCATGCAACTCGGTCCAAAAAACAGACACTCGCGCGCACAAGACAGGAAGTCATCCGAGCTTCACAAGTCTCCATGGACAACTACGGAACACATGTAGCAGCTTTACTGCAGAGAAGACGCGTCCCACGTCCGGAACTTCACTCGGGAACTCTCAACAGTTGTCCCTACCCTTCTTGCATTGCAATTATTTTTATCAAATGCATAAAACTTCTGTAATCATCATCATCATCATTCTGGTAAAACAGACATTCGTTAGTACTTGGTACTGCCTAATAAGCAGCCTAATTACGTCACAACCAGATCAATAACAAAGTGCTGAGCAACAATGTCAGTCTATAGGACGGGTTAGTCCCCATAGGCCTTCTAAGTACACTTTGATTCCTCTTTCCAAGTCGAGTTCCGCATTCCCCGTTGGTCCAAGGCGTTAAGGGCAAAGTCACTTGAGTCAATTGGGGGAGGGCTTTAGGTAACCGTATTCCTGAACTGTCCATGACTGCCAGTCATTGTCCCTACACAAAACGGTTTTGACAAATCAACATGGCTGTCTTGCCTAAGTGATTTTGCTTAATTGTATCAAAACTGAATTCAAACATTGAGGAATGTAGTGACAATCCGTAGAATGGATCGTGTCCTGTTCTCCTAGGTTAACCTCCGTAGAAGTAGAGCGAAACCATCTTGAAAAGTGTTGCACACACCCGTAGAAGATGACAAAACTCTCCTCTCCGTTCGACTCGATATGCATGACGTTCAAACTAGGAATTTGTTTACATGAATACACCACACTGCGAGCAACTGACGCATTCTCATTGGTTCACACTGTGCAACTCATGTGCCTCGCAGCTGACATATTGACACACAGAATTTTCCTGACTACCGTAGATCAATGAGTCAAGACTGTTTTTAGGTTAGGTAACGCTAACTCCACAAAACGCAGACCTTACACACTCACATTCTCGCGCGATTGCGTGAGAAATGCAAGAGGAACATCGATCAGCAGCGCAACGATCGTATGTTGTATTGCTTGACTCGAATACCTGAGCAGCTAAAGAATTGCACTCAACGTTTTTGAAGAGATGTGCCGCGCCATCCTGCTGTCCGTCGTCGACAGAGTGCAGCCTGATCACATCGGTTTTCTGTTAGACGAGTTTGGGATCCTTTAGGTTTGCTTCCACCGAACTGAGCAGAACAAACAGTAACTAAACTAAGGTGAAACAAAGTCGGCCGCTGGTATGCTCTTGTAGAGATGAACCAAGTGGTTAGAGCGCAAATTTACTGACCGGAAGGTTCAGGGTTCGAACCCGAACTCTGCCTCTCGAGCTCCCCTGTCTAGGCTTGGGCAACCTGGCAGTATCCCAGCCCTCGTGCAACCTTCGAGTGGCATGGCAGCTAGGCACCGAGAGTGTTACAGGTGGAGGATTTATTTATACGATTTTATGCTCTTGTGGAAAAAAAACAAGTATGACGTAAATTTTGCAGATGATTTGAACAAACAACACCAGTTGTTATTCGGGAAGACATTAACCTGCTACGAATTATGTACAAGGGTTTTGGAGACCAACATTGTAAGAAGCAAATTCCCGATGACGAGGACACTGTGAGTTTAAGTGCCATCGTAGGAACACTTTCGGAATGTGGCAGGAGGCTAATTTGCAAACGCAAAGACCTTTAAAAAAGAACTTCCACCAGTTGTATGGACATCGTAGACACATACTTTGTGGGTCATAGGTCAAGTTCGTGTCAAAAATACAATTGTTGTTAATGTTGTCTAGACGTAACACACTACTCATTAGGTTGCTGAAAACTGGTCGACAGCTCACGACCGGTTTCGCCCTTCTTGTGACTCGCCGGGTAGGCACAGTCCCCAAGATTTCGTCAACCTTCTGTTCTACTTGAAACCAAATTGCACGAAATTAGCGAAATATACACTCATTTGCAAACAAGTCTGGTTTTGCGAGAGACTCACGTGGAACCCAGCTGAATCTCTCGCTAATGATGTTATTCTTCAACTGGATGTGCCGAAGGACATCCGGTTTCAGCTGGGTTCCACGTAAGTTCCCCGTCAAAACCAAATTCATACGCCGATGAGCGTATTTCGCCAAAGATAGCTGTGATCAAATTACCTAGACATGGAAACCTGTACCAAAAAATCGTCCGGCTGTAGTACCCTTTCGGTGCCTAGCTTCCATGCCACATGAAGGAGGCACGAGGGCTGGGATACCGCCAGGTTTCCCAAGCCTATACAAGGGAAGTCGAGTGGCAGAGGTCGGGATCGAACCACCGGCCTTCCGGTCAGTGAATTCGCGCTCTAACCACTTGGGCCCCTGTAAAAATCAACCGGATTTGTGAATTGGAGGTAACCTCCCAGAAAACTCATCGCAATATATGTAATTATTGCACGACTTCTACACCGAAACTCTTCCCCGGTTTTCTGTAAAAGTGCGAAGCATTTTGAAAATATTCGGGTTTATGGAGATGAGATCACCTGGATTTCCTAAGGTTATTTGGTTTTACAGCCGTTCGATGCATTCACGTGTGCGATCACATTCGACCGTTCCATTGATGGTTGGGGAGGGTTTATTTCGATTAATAGTGTATCTAGAAGTATTTTTTCGGCATCAGCATACTACACTCTTTTTCGCTGTGTATCTTCCGTCTCAGTTGCGCTAAGAGCACAGATGATGGGGAGATGCCTACCTGCTTTGTTCAACGAGGGAGTCAGTACACTGACGTGTGAAGTCGCATAGAACCGGGAAAAAAACGACCATGCTCCGTCACATTTCAACGCTGACGATAAACAAGGCGGTTGAGGGAGGGTGTTATGTGAAGCAAACATCTGTTCTTACTTTGCTCTTCTACGGATGGGTTCACAGGTTCGTTGGCTGTGGCAACCCCGATGTCGGATGTGTTTGATGTGTTTGTTTGATCGCACTTGGGAGGAACGTCCAGACTCTCAGATGACTTGTCCGGCACTGTATCAACATTCTGATGAGTTGGAACGACTGCGTGGTCAGCTACCTGGGATGGTTCCGAATGCTCATTGGTTGTCTGAATTTGAGATTAACAGAAAAGGAATGGCTTTTGAAGTGGATTGCTCCTAATCACAGAGAGATGTGAGTCCCTAAAATGATCTACTAATGCAGGGTACTAGGGTTAGTCCTGAAGTTTAGCACGCTGTAACCAAGAGGACTTCACCAGAACATGGAAGATACTTTTTTCTGACTGAATAGTTGGGAGTAGATCCGAGATAGTGCTGCCGCGGTGAGCGTTTGTAATTAGTTGGATGCAAAATGATGGATTCCACCTTATCTCAAAACAATAACGTTTGAGATATTTGGCAAAATCTTCTTGTCTTGGCGCAATCACTCTGGTGAGTCCGCACCAAATAGGCGAGCACCGGACTCGAGTTTTACTCTTATTAGAGCTCATCAAGAGTGCTTATCCTTAGCTGCGCCGAGCTTTGAACATGCGAGGTGAGCGTGTCAGCACTAATGCGCCAGCGCAGACTGGACTCATCTGCCTTCTTACGTCAGAACAGGTGAACATGATCGATCCAGTAACATATCTTGGTTGTATCGACCGACTGACCCATCTGTCGGGAATTCCCAGTCAGGTGGCACCACAGACGCTTGAAACCCGCTGGACACATTTTGTGGAATGCACACTTACATGACTCTCGTTTGGATGATCGTCCTCCTGTCCTGGTGCAATCACTGTTGATAAGCTCTGATAAGAGCGAGTCCACCTTTGTTGTGGACTCACCGGAATGATTGCGCGAGGACAGAAGGACGATTGTCCCAAAAAGGGTCAAGTGTGTATTCTACGAAATCCCTCAACCGCCAACAGAATAGCCAAGATAATGAATGAATCTCGCTCGCTGGCAACCGTTCATAAGCCGCATCATAATCTACAAACATCGTGCAAGAGTTTTCTGGTCCATGAGTACATAGCAGTATTTGTTCAGTAGTCGATAGTGGTAACCAATAAGCTGACGGTCGAAGATTCGGGCAACCACCAGCGAGCACTATTCAAAACTTGCAAGAATATTCATTTCCCGCATTAGTCGACCAACAGAAGGCGAAATGAATCACAAAACAGGTGAAAGAACGAGTAACGTACCACCACCCATTGCTTCTGGGACGACCAGAGGATTGAAGGCAGACGGCTGAAGAACAGTTGGACAATGGAAGCCAAACACAGCTCGGCTGTGCGCCGTAACAGTTCAGACAGTTTGGATTCAAAGCATATGCGAAAACAACTTTGAAGAATTTCCCGCACCGCACGATCGGATACGAAAGCGCCAGCGGGAACCAGCAGGAGGGTTCGCAGGAGATGAAGAACCTTCATGAGAACGACCTGTAGAATTTCAGAAAGTTTGTAATAGTTCGTGGAAAGTGTGACCGAGAAGTAGAAGGGTAGGTCTAACTCATCTAATTTCCTTAGAAAATGAGCAAGTCTCACGAACAAATCTAGCAACTCATGGTGATCGTGTTGCAATGCGCCCCCAAGATACACAGCGAGAACACTGCTCATCAACGTTCAACAGTGTCAGAACTATAAACCAGGAGCGGTGCATCGAATGACAGCGAGTAGCCGTGATAAAAGAAATGGTATTACGAAATGGTCTGTTCACCGCGATAGGAGGGTGATAAGAGTATTCACGGAAGCACTCATGCTGCTGCCTCCGGATGGGGACCCCGAGACGGGCCACATCAACGGTTAGAGACATTGTCATATATGGCCCAGTCGCGCCCTCAATGGCGCTCATGCATCCAAGCTATTGCCTTCAATGCACAGCTCCCTTCCCAATCCCCCCTAGACAGCCCACCGACAGTGCTGGATTTATGCACCAATTTATCATCTCCCGTCTCCAATGCGCAGCTACCAACCCCCCTCCAAATCATCGGTGAAAGAAAATGCGCCAGCTAAAACCACTGTACGACGAGTACGCGATTCTTACAGCTGACAACGATGATGATGTTGCTGCCTCCGGAGAAGGGAAGTCTTGAAAATGTCTGCTTGGAAAACCGCACACACATTGGGTCGTCCTGGCGACAGAGTTGCAAATTACGCACGACCGTTACAAATACTTAAAAACTATGAGTGGAAGAGGGAAGATGCGGAATCAAAGGGTCAGACAGTCATTCAATCATTCAGCTCACAAACAGTGCATGGTTCTGGCTGCTACAGCTTCGTCCATTGAGGACAAAAAGAACAAATGGATGAGAGCCACGCATAGGAGGAGATGCCTTAATGACGAACGTGTCCAGTTGTCTACTATGGTAGCTACGCAGTGAAGGCGACAGCCTTGATGCATCGTCATTGGCTGGGTGACAGCCACGTCTGTCAGGGCCGCTAACCATTACTTTGTCCCATCCGCATCCAGGGAGACGGTAATTACCAGGAGGTCTCAGATGACCGATGAGGACTTTCAAACTTCTCTGATGAGTGGGGTTAGAAATTATCAAGTGGTAATTGCAACAAACGCACCTCGTCGGAGCTTCGGTCCGTGCCAACAAAACGAGCCTGTGTCCCGAAATCGGCAATAGCCTCTACGGCCATAGACACAGACCGAAACGAACGAGGGCCATGAGTAGCGAACCACTCCGCACTGTCCGTGCTCGGTACTTCCAGCAGTCCGTAGGACAAAAACTTATCAACTGCCGTCAGTGCCAATCCCGTGATCGGTCCCGTCACATCCTCCGCACGTATAACTTCCAGGAACGGAGTCAGGTATACCAATGGCTCTACCTCATTCAAACCTGCGAACACAAAGAAAACGTAGAGTGAGGCTGATTTCGAGGAAAGGACATATTGCGAAACGGGAGACAAGACATCAGAAATTTTAAGGAACTGATGTGAGGCCACTACATTGTGCAATGCATCACACGGTGTTGTTACGCCGATCCTAGGGGAGCACAAACGAATGCACTGTAAAAGGTGCGGAAGAACAATGACATTCGTCTAGGGAAAAGTAACCGGAAGGACTAGAACCATTTAGGTGGAATCTGAGAAAAACTAGCATTTTAGAGGGGACGTCATTTACCACATTTGGAGAGGATCCAACGGGCCCAGCTTTGCACACGTGGACAAAGAAGATCAAGACGTCTCTATGTTCTTTGTGAATTGGTCGGATAATGTTAAGCTTACTCAGGATGTGAAGTCGGAAAGAAATACGCTTCATCCTCATTAGACCTTCAACCAAAACGTCAACGAGCACGTGCCATGCTGAGTTCACTGACGTCGCACCGCGGAAAGCGTGAATTAATCAACCAGCCATATCCAAAAAGGGCGAATCTGGGTCCTCATCTACGGTGCCGGGTAGAGAACGTAGAGAAGCGCACTACTGAAACACATGGAGCTCTGCCCATGTGGGCCAACCCCCATTAGCATTAAGCGAGAAGAAATCCCGAATAATACCAGCGACGTAAAAAAAATTAGGGTTAACACCTTTCCGGTGCCTAGCTGTCATGTCAAGCACGAGGGCTGGAATACTGCCAGGTTGCCCAAGACTAGACAAAGAAAGTCGAGATGCAGAGGTGCGGTTCGAACGACGGATCTTTTGGTCAGTAAGCTCGCGCTCTAACCACTTAGCTATTTCGCCCAAGGGTGATATGGCGTCTAAGCACCGCAAGGACGCTACCAATGAACTTCAGTGACTCGTCAGGCAAGATTGTTCCCAAGGGCACAGAATTCTCTTGGTCTTATTGACTGAGAGTCATTTTCATAAGATCTCACTAGGGTATCTACACTATCCGCTTATTTCGAAACTTTATTGGCCTCATTTAAAAATTAGCCGAGTTGACTGCTCCGATATTTTGGCGTTGATTGCTCCTACACCAATCACATCTTCGGATTTCTTGTCGCTTTGTTCAGGCTCACAATCACAATCTGCAAGCCTCGCTGCCAAAGAACCTCCTGAATGTTCCAGCAGTCCTGCTGTTCTAATCGTTGGGTTGCTTCGAGTGCAGTGGAATTATGCGGGAGAGTACCAAAGCCGAGCAAAATCATTTTGAGCTGATTAAATCTCAACGGTAGTCAACTGGTCAACCCAATACGTGTGGAGTTGAAAACAATTAATCAGAATGGAACAGATATGGGGTCGCAATTGTCTTCGTTCAAATGTAACACCCTTTCGGTACAACGCTGTCATCTAATCGAGGGACGATAAACTGACAAGCCGCCCAAACCTAGAAAGGAGTAGTGGAGATGATGCAGTTGGGTTCGAATCACGGATCTTCTGGTCAGTTAGTTCGGGACCTAACCACTTAGCTACCTCGAGCTCCTCAATTCGTATTATTAGGAAGCGAAACTAGGACTTAGCACAGTTCTACTGAGTGATAGTTTACCATAAAGACCGTTCAACAACGGAGGGATTCACGTGGACTGAAGATAACCATTCAGCTGTGACACCCTTTCGATGCCTAGCTGCCATGCCACCCAAAGGGAGCACGAGGGTTGGGATACTGCCAGGTTGCCCAAGCCTAGACAGAGGAAGTCGCGAGGCAGAGTTCGGGTTCGAACCATGGACCTTCCGGTCAGTAAATATGCGCTCTAACCACCTGAGCCATCTCACATGGGCTGAGATACTTCTAGGTTGCCCAAGCCTAGACAGGAGCAGTCGAGATGTCCAGATTGAGTTCGAAACATGGACCTTTCCGTCAGTAAGCTGGTGCCCTAACCACTGAGCTATCTCGAACCACAAAAGAGAGGAGACGGTACGAAAAAACAGCTCAGTTGTGCATATTCCACTCACTACCTACGGGAACTAGGTTAGTGTAACCTGATAAGACCAAGTTGAATTCGGATGTTCTTTATAATCAATCGCCATTCGCAAGCGATGAGGATGCTGTGAACAGTTGGATAATTATTATGATCATCATCGACACCTTGATATCAGTGTTCAAAACGGGATACTTCACTGCCACTGAACAGTAAACGTCTTGTGATGTGCTCAGGATCGAATTACATACGGAGAAAAACCGACTACGGTTGGCGTCGGTTGCGTAAGCTGATTTTCGGTCGGGTGTTTCAAGGGGGGGTTCTTTGTTTTCAAAAAAGTCGTGAACGCGCTAAGGGCGATATTAAACAGGGATTACTACATAATACTTGTCGTTTCCGTAAAATGAGATATCAGTTGGAGTAAAAGACGTACAACAGGTCAGCTGTATGTTAATTGGCTGACTGTCAGGACGAGTGGCACAGTTTAGCAGCCGCGGTCACCACTGCAGTATATGCACTGCCTAGGAAGCACCGATAAAAGACACGTCACGAGCCGGGTGGCCCATGGCCTAATGCACAGCGGTACTATCCCGAAATCTCGTACACATCGCCTGTAAGAAAATTTTCCTCAATGATGATACCAGCCCCAGAATTTCCCTTTTTTGTCCCATTCGGATACCAGTTTTTAAATTATCACACTTTGAGTGAAGCTTGCTGAGGTGGCAAGGCAACTGCCCACCGAAAACGTATGACCACTGAGCGGCTGCTACTTTTCTTGTCTACATTAAATACCACACACCTAGACACTGGCGTCTACTAGCAACGTATTGTCGTCCACGATTTCCGTATATTTCCGACCATCCAAACCTGTATAGTTCGTTGGAGTGATACCTCCGAAGTTAACCATGGCCTTTAACACACTAACACAGACTTCTATACAAGTGTCCGTTTGGGCAGGATGCTGATTTGAGTGTGTTCCCCCACTAACCTTTTTCAAGAGGTAGTAAGAGTGACAGGAACCTGATGTGTTGGGAGGGAATGAGGGGCAAGGCCGGTGGGCGAAGAACTGCAAGGACAAATGATACTTCCCGGTTGCCCAGGCAGAAGAAGGGGGTTTAGTTGAGGTACCCCAACTGGAGCCTTTGACTCAAACGTCTGACGCACAAGGCAGTGAGAGGAAGTAGGGTTTTCTTCGGGCCCCTGCTCCCTAGCCTCCAACACAAAAGTCTGGACCGCAAGACAGCGGTCGTTAAGGTCTCCTTGGGGTACCCTACCCAGAGCCAATGACTCAATAGTCTGACCTGTTTGGCTGCAGGGACCCCGCCCAGCCCGACGGCGCAGGGAGTACAGCATTACTGTATCACTCCTGATGCGGCTGCGCAAAGCAAGTGCCTTTTGAGCAGCACCGGGCTCTTTGGTTTTAAAAGTGTTTTGACTGTGTTGAACAATGCGTCGGCGGTCACAGTCAACCGTCGGGCGATCGGAGTGTGCGTTTTCGGGGTCGATTTTTTCTAATGCGTCCTTCCTTGAGGAAGGTAGCACCGCTGCTTCAATAAATATGGGCATGCTGGTTGCCTAGGGGAAATAACTTAGCGCCTCCACACTCCTATCGCAGATGGCAGTAAAAGTTTACCTACAGACAGCTTCGTGATGAGATTACTCGCAGTACGGGGACTCGCTGTTCTTCATCGGGCTGCTCCCCGTTGGCCTTCCTGAAATGGTTGAAGCTTTAGTAACTGAGTTCCAGCAGGATCATTGCAGCACGGAAGCCCGACCACTACAAGGTGACAGTTTTAGGTCGGAACAGGAACCTGAGAGATGAAGCACTATGGACCGAGGGGGGGGGGGTGGAATATGCCTTAATACAAATGAAGGGTTAAGACTTCTCAGAGTACGATTTACAAAATATGTGCGCCAGAAACAAAAATTCCAATGGCACATTGGGGAGTGATAATCAGACTGTTTAAAGAATGCATCCAGAGCTCTAGGCATCCATGGCTCTTGAGTAGGACACCAAGGTGCGAAAAGCTGTCTCAATTCCACAGCGCTAGACAATGATGGAAGTGCAGTATCTTGGTGGGACATCACTCACTTGACACTGAATTTAAAATAGACCGCAACTGTACAAAGTTTTTGTACACAGGACTTTTCATCTCCTCCTGAAAAGTTAAAAAAAGTGAAGATATGGTGAACATACCTGGTAGCCACGAAAGGAGATTCGGGCGTTGCATTTTAACGCGGTCGATAGCAATGATATTTCCGACTGTACGATGGATAGGGCATTAGACGGGGCCATTGCGATCAGATCTAGATGCCACTATTCCACCACGTTTGCATGTCAGTTACAATACTACAATAATGGATCCAACAGTTACTCAGTACGGTTCGATCCACAGACCGGAGCAGCCAAAATAGTCGAATGGGTGAAAATACCTATTTTAAGAAAAAAGAAAAGGTATAAGCAAATGAGGACTGTTGTAAGTCTCAAAACATCCTTGTCTGTCCGGTGGTAACTGTCGTCGTTTGAGTAAATAGCAGATTAGTACGCAGCTCACGCCATCACTTTGGAAGGCATCAACTCCGAAACTAGAGATCTTAAGCGCAGTACCACTTCAATCCTTTGGGTTCGCCTGACGGTCTTCCTAAAAGCACCTACAGCCAAATACTATATGTCGCAAAGCGGTTCAACGAAAGAAACTCTCAGGCCGTAATTCGACACTTGCTAATTCCCACCGGGGTAATCGGTCTTTGAGAGCTGCGTGGATTGTGAGCATGGAACCGTTCAGCAAAGGAAGTGCTCGAGCGTACATCCCTACTGAAGTGTGATCCCGAGGACCTTCCAGCTGCTTTGTTCATGGAAGGCAGTGAATTCCAAAGTCAGTTCATTTCCAACCTATCTGCATCTACATCGGAGAAAGAGGCCGTCCCCAAAAAACCAGTCGCCAATAGTGCATATTTCCGAAATGGGTACTCACAAAGAGAGCCGTAACCATAACAGTGGTTGTTTGACTTCCGTTGCACTAAAGTTTCACTGATTTCTCATTGTATTGGGGCGACACATGAAACACTGACCCGCAGGTATTGAGTGGCAGTGGCTACATACTCACTTTAGATGTTACAGCAACTCCGTATGTACATAATATCCGCCATCTTGGTGTTCCTTGATTTCAAGGGTGTGTTCGAATCTGCCGGTCAACCAGTACTCCCAGCCACAGTCACTTAACTGGGGATGCCCCGAGCGTTCATTTACACAGTGGGGACCCTACTCACGGATATGCGAGAGTACATAGGAAACCTAAAAGCTCTCCAAAATAGATGTCCGTAAAGGACGTTTGCTACAATTTCGCCATTGTTGGAACAATGAGGCGAACACTGGAGGGGCATCGAAAACCCGGAGTTCAAATCGCTTCTGGAGGACCCTGTGGTTCAAGATATGCAGTATTCAAACTCAAGTAGAAGCGTTGGAGTCTGTGAAGAGTTCCACATACTTTCGTATGTGTATTAGTTCTGGCAAGAGCCTGAAGATGTTAGTGCACGAATTTCGAAGACCCGAAATGTCTGTCAGTTTTCGTCGCCGGCGACGTTGAAAGAGACTATCACTATCCCGGGTAGCGTGTACCGGGGCAACAATGCAGCAGCAACAATGTTTTATGGCTCCGAAAAATGAACTCTGAGGGATGACCCTAGGCATCTCTAGGTTGTTGATCACCGATGTCTTGTAAGTGCTGGCGGTATCGGACGGCTTCGATGAGTTCGAAAAAAGTTAATTGAAAAACGAGCGTATACCAGGTAGATCAGTCACAGAGGTTAGGGCATGTCATATATCGAAGTCTACGCCTTCTTCAGAATAGCGCAAACTACAAGGTTTTATCCACTTTGAAGCTTTTAGTGTTCAATTTAGTAAAACGCGCTTCGTGCTGAAGCTCCATTGTCTCTTTCCATGATCCCGATTGTCCCTATGTTCAGGTGTACTTATTGTCCTTTCTATCTCGCAGACACTTTGGTCGTGCTCAAGATAGCTCAACGTTTGAGACACGAAACCAATAACTCCCGCTCAACAGGTTTCAACGGCTCAGCGATTAGGCACTGATCTAGCTGGAAGTTTACCGGAAACGCAGTCATATTGATGAAGAAGAGTTGGAGGATCAGTGAAAAGCGAAAAGAAGCTGTGTTCACAACTTTCGCGATGTTCGTTCTCATAAGTACCATCAATGATAGCATCACCAAATGAGAACGCTGGTGCTTCACTGCCGTTCAAGACAGCCGAAGCTGGGCTCATTTGCAAACGTGGCATTCACCGATGTAAGTGACCTAGGATAAAGTCAGGACACCCAGGCCTAGATGGGTGACCATAAGGATCCTCAACCGGTCTTTGACTGGAAAACCTAACCGCTCTGGAGATTCAGAAAGACCGAAATTACGGGTCGCTTATACGTTTAAACAGCTTTCAACACAGTGAAGTGTGAAGGAGAAGTCAATATAATAAGTACCAAGCCGAAAATCACTTGCTGCTCTCGAGACAATGCCTCGCGCACCACGTTAAGGAGAAGGACAAGTGAGGCACATATGACTGGAGTGCAGCAGATCCCCTGTGACTGCCGCACTCACTATAGGTTGCTTTCGTAAACATTCCCTCCAGTTGTCCGGAACATTCTCTTTATCACACATGCAGGCAAAGAGACCAGACGAGCGCTGACTAGCCGCTTCCTTTTCATTTTTGAACAATGCGGGTAAAGATCATCCGGACATGGGGCTTGGTGGTGCTTGAGGAGACATAAGCAGACATAAACCTCCTAGGTCGCAAGGGGTTCTAGATTCACCGTCCAGGTTCCTGGTGCCGTTCGAAGAACAAACTGAGGAGTAGCACCCACAATACCCAAGCGCTTCATAAACTCTTTCATACCTCCCTCCCAACTCAGGGGTTGGCCACCTCTCTGCTTCCGCCAATCTGAATTGGGCACGCAAAACAGCACCTCTTCGGCAAACGATGGTTCGGTATGCACAATACACGAATGGAACAACGCATCTTCTGATAATGGACATATTAACCAATGGGAGTTCACGTTGCACAACCGAAACCTGCCTTTCTAAATCCCTCGTTGCGGATTCTCCGACCTAAACCCACAAGAACTATGGCCCTGAGACAACGATCGTCGAACACCAGTTCCGCTGCTCGAAAAGGCCAAGTCTCTCATCCACACGAAAAAAGGCCCACACTGTAGCTTGAAACACACGTCCTTGAGATTCAGAGATATCGCTTTGATGCCATAGGTGTCTCAAATTAGCAAACGTACTCCGGGGCCTGCCGATCCATGAATTGACCTCATCTTTCAAACTAAAATCAGAACCAATACAAGTTCAAAAATAAGTGAAACGTTCCACAACTTGAAGTGCCTCTCCATGGATTGTAAGTGACGCATTCAGTGAGTGAATGTCCGGGAAAATGACCTTAAACTTCGTGGGTGCAAAGTGCACACCTGTGCCTTCTTTTCGTCTTCGAAGACGAGAACGATATCGTTTGCATAGTCTGGACCGACAAGGTTTTCGTCGGAGGCTATTTGGACACCAGGGCTATGAAGACCCTCCAGCGTTCGTCTCGTCATCTCATTAAATAGGAATGAAGAGAGTGGGGTACCTCTGACGGACACCACTGTGTACGGAAGCTTTGGAAGAGTTCTCTGTATACTATCGGGGCGAGATGGCTCAAGTGGTTAGAGCGCGAATTTACTGACCAGAAGGTCCGTGGTTCGAACCCGACCTCTGCCTCTCGACTTCCCCTGTCTAGGCTTGGGCAGCCTGGCAGTATCCCAGCCCTCGTGCTTCCTTCAGGTGGCATGGCAGTTAGGCACCGGAAGGGTGCTACAGCTGAATGATTTTCTCTGTATACTATCTCTGCCCTAAAATCTGAAAATACAACGGACTTATTGTGCTCAAAAAATTCCCGGGCATTTTTCGATGGGCATCATCATTATCAGTTGTGAGAACCGCGTACTTGCCGCACGCTGGTTGTAGCTGCCACGGTTTCGTCTCGCGATGATTTGGGTGAACTAATGACTCGTATTTTTCAATTACCGTTTCACCAACCGTTGTCATTTTAAAAGCAGTCCATTGTATCAGTAGATGTGGGGCACGGCACTTTCTCGTAGCAAAAGCCTGCTCCATCTCCCGAGCTTTCGATGTCCATCAGATCTCTCGGTCTTTTCTTAGGCTCTTCATCATTTGGCGTTTCAGGGAGCTGCGTGCACCACTGCACTGGTTGCCTGCTGGTATGAATTTCCTGGGATCAATCATGAACAGCGATCTCCGTAGTCTTGTGGTTACGGTTGCTGTATATACGTCCGAGGCGAGGGAAGAAGGTTTCCTAAATCGCTTGGCCAAGTATACTCAAAGGATCAAATGCAACAAGTTTTTTTACATGTGCTCCATGCTGTATAAGCATCAGACCCGGAAAAGGTGGTATCCAGTAGATTTCCCCAACACACTGGTGGCCCGTAAGCTCATCCACCACCGCCAGACCTGCCAACTGTAGACTCCCGTGTATATTTCTTCTGTAGCAAGTCGAACACCAGTGCGCTGAAACCCGATTCCGCAACTCATCTCTTTTTTTACAGTGGAAACGATCTGACAGCTTTTAGAAGTTAAGCGCTCTCCTCAAGGTAGCCGTGTGAGCCTTCAGTTGAGTGTTTCACAGGCTGCCAACTCACACGCGTTGTTTCGGCTCAGTCCGTAGTCATCAGTACCGAAATCCCAACGATCCGCCACAAAAATCGCCGATTTTCCATAATTAGACACTTCAGGTGGTGTGAAACATGTCTCGATGACGCTGATGATGCAGACAGCACTAGGATCTGTTGGTTCATTTAGATTATGGTGGCTTTTTTCCAGGAGAGGGTCACTGTTTCAAACGTGCACACTGCGTAGTATGAACACAGCAATCCTGGTAGACCTGTAATATGCACGCTATGGAAGCACCAGTGGACAGTGATTCTCCGAAGGCAGGTGTTCACGACAATTTCTGTGGATGGAAAACAGAAACAAAGCTCATGAGCCGAGGCCCAGTAAGCAAGGTTGTACATCACCAATACTTACATATGAATCAATCAAAATGACAAACACCGTATACTACACTGGCCTCCTTTTTGAAGAACACCGTCCCCGGTGTACCATGGCCTACGTGAACCGGCCGGTGCTAGTGGTGTGGTGCGTTAAGCTGCTGAGCGTGTGCAGGGGTTGCTGTATCTGGGGCTGCGTCTACCGTGTGAGTGAGCAACGTGCTAGCTCTGAGGCCAGTATGCACATGTGAAGAGCCAGGATCTCTGTGGTATGTCTACCAGTGTGTGGTAACCATCCTGGCGTGGTCGCCAATTATGTAATATGCACGCTATGGAAGCACCAGGGGACAGTGATTCTCCGAAGGCAGGTGTTCACGACAATTTCTGTGGATGCAAAACAGAAACAAAGCTCATGAGCCAAGGCCCAGTAAGCAAGGTTGCACATCACCAATACTTACATATGAATCAATCAAAATGACAAACACCGTATACTACACTGGCCTCCTTTTTGAAGAACACCGTCCCCGGTGTACCATGGCCTACGTGAACCGGCCGGTGCTAGTGGTGTGGTGCGTTAAGCTGCTGAGCGTGTGCAGGGGTTGCTGTATCTGGGGCTGCGTCTACCGTGTGAGTGAGCAACGTGCTAGCTCTGAGGCCAGTATGCACATGTGAAGAGCCAGGATCTCTGTGGTATGTCTACCAGTGTGTGGTAACCATCCTGGCGTGGTCGCCAATTATGTAATATGCACGCTATGGAAGCACCAGGGGACAGTGATTCTCCGAAGGCAGGTGTTCACGACAATTTCTGTGGATGCAAAACAGAAACAAAGCTCATGAGCCAAGGCCCAGTAAGCAAGGTTGCACATCACCAATACTTACATATGAATCAATCAAAATGACAAACACCGTATACTACAGACCCACGACCCTGTACGTCACAAAGGGCTCTCAGCAACGGACCACACAGAATCCCGACTGGTAATTGGTCGATCGGCTGGTCACGTGATGCCCGAGGCTAGCTACGGAACCGGCTGGTTAGAATTCACGGATTCACGGATTGATACATTATCATTAGATGCAAAACGAGGCTGATTTCTCCGACATCGGCATTTTAAGTGCCGGAACGTTCACTCCTGTTGATTCTATTCTGTCAATGCAATTTATTGACTTCTTTTTGAAACCACTGTTTAACAGAGCATATTTCCAAGGTCACCAAACACCGGACTGGAAAATCGCTTCAATAAATGCACTCATTCGCCCAACAGTTTTGTATTCCCATGTTGCCCACCTGGATCCCATCTAAATCTCGCGTCTATGATGTTATTCTTGACACCATGAATTTCGGTGTTCGTCGAAACTCGTGTGAAAATTCGTCCATAACTTTACTCTCAGGTTTTCGAGTGCCAAGTGGTGTCGTGGTAAACTCTTAGTCATAAGTTGCCCAATGCGTTTATTACACAGAGTGAACTGTATATTGACTTGGGGTGACTGACTGCTGAAAACAGTCGCAAATACTTTAAAACTGCATTTGCTACTCAATGCAACCAGAGTGGCGCATGAGAAAAAATTCTGCAGCATGTTTAAGAAGACGACTCCATTACACTCGTGCGCTTGAGGCTTGCCAGCAGCGCAGACTAAGTTGGTTCAATACATCACAATCGCAACCAAAATGATCATCACTGGTCAATATTAGGACCCAGTCGTCTCACCGCAGTTTTATGAATTAGAAACAGAATCGTTTTACGTAATCGGAAAATAAACTAAATTCGAGAGCATGTGATCAGCGGCGGAGTGGAAATTTTTAGCGACCCAAGAAGACCGACAGCGAGGGCAATGTATGGTCCGTATGATTTGAATTTAATTAGCTGGAAACAGAGACCCATAGCGTGTCGCTATGACAGTTCACATCGTTGCAAAACGTGAGTGTTCATAAGAACGAATGAAAAATTCAAAAGGACCGGTGACGCGTCTGAGAAAGCAACCGAACCGATTCAATCTTTCAGCTGCCCATGGTGGTCATCGAAATTTCCACTTGGACGTGGAAGAGTTCTGCTCAGCCGTTTGTTTAGACATAGAAAGTGCGTTCTATCACATTTTACATGAAAATATGTTGGGCCCATCGAAGTGCTGCACTAGGATACTCAGATACCTGTACATCGCACGCCGCGTTCGCTGAGCTGTCAAGTCATGTGAATGAAAGGCCGATCGAAGACCCGCGAGAGTTTATACTTCAGGCAAATTTCCATTGATTGCGGAACGATCGCAAGCGGATCACCATTTCCGCAATTATGGATATCATCACACTTGCCAGAGATTGCGACTGGTTATTAAATAACTTAGGATGACGGTGATGGGTAGACGATGCGAAATACTCCATCATCTGCCCTTCATTATCTGATTTGTGGGCAGATTCGCCAAAGTACACTGAGACCATATTTAGTTCGGATCCAAGGTTTTCATGGGCCAGCGACGTGGCGTAGTTTTTGGTTTTCAGTGCCACCAGCATAAAACGCTCCGGTGGAAATATGGGAGACACCAAAAGGCTGAGACGGGAAAAGGACGCCAAGCCGAATAGCCAGATCGTGATTTTTTTCTCAGTAATTTCGATACGCATATTGGCTGTTCTAAATTGTGTACTTCGTTTTTACTGTGATAGAGTAACTTCATGTCCATCTGTTATATCGGTCACCCAATGGTTTATACCCTTCGACATCCTACAATAAACTCTAGGGCGTCTAGCATACTGGCAACGAAGCTGTTTGCACAACTGGTTGTAGGAAATGTGACAATAAACGGAGCCCGTTTTTTCAACTTACCGCATGAGAGGTTACAGTTAAGGAAAATTGTGGGGCGCTCAAAAAAGTTTTCGTTCGGATATACATCAAAGTCGAGCCTCAGTACAGCCACAATAAAAGCACACGTGCACGAGTCACTGAACGTTCTGTTGCCCCCCCCCAGCGGTCTAAGAGGCCCATATGTTCGCGTAATTTGAGTCACATCAAAGATATAAACTTCCTCATCTAGAGCTGCTCACTTGAAGTAAACCGAAATTATTTTCGCCTCACCATTTCGCCAGTGGGCCCGCTAACAATTAGTACTCCTCAGAATTTTCCTTATAAAGCTAACAAAAAAGCTCAGCTGCTTTGGAGCAATTTATGGTGACAAACTACTGCACGCAGCGGCTGCGTGGGCTCTGAACTTCGTGTTCCATTCTACAAAGACCAAGTTAATTTATCTAGAAAGACCCATTGACAAAATTGAGGGTCTTAGTCAGGATTAGGAAAAGAAGCTACCCTGGAGGGTCGTGACGCTACAAAAGTATCTAGTGTAACATGCTCTCCAAGCCGCTCCATCATTGGTGCATTTGTGAACTAACCTAAGGATTCACTTCTCATTCAGTATACTTGCGAACCAACCCACCGGAGGGTGAAAAACAGCTTAAGAACGCTAGACCTTTTGATCAAAAAGACATTATTCTCATGCACAGCAAGGGCACAAGATGGCTTATCAATTGAATGAATTGTAATTGTAGGGGACCCTGTTGAGATCAAAAGGTAACGCACATCATAATCCGAAAGACTGCTTTTATTATTTTCTTGTCGGCAAGTAACCAGCGGTTTGGTGAATATACAGGAGCAACCTCCCCACTCAAGGGCAGCGTTGAAAAGTAACATAAACTCTTCAGGTTGTTCATATTGGAGGTCCAAAATGTGATATGCCTGTGACTCTCAAACCATCCACGGCCATGAGTGCTATGAAAGACCACGGGCTCCCTCCAGGAACCCAGCACGTAGCCAGTAAATCTTCTCATCTCTGCTCATCCTACTGCAGCTCTTAAGCGCAAGTGCAGGGCAGCCGCAGAATGGTGACGCAATGGAAGCAGCGTTGCTGTTTGTCTGTAGCTGGATCGGCCTTGTTCCGGTCCTCACTTGTCCAAAAACACCAAGAAATACAAGCGGACGACAGCTGTCCTCCCGTTTGTTCTAAAAAAAGAATATAAAAAACGTTCATCCATGGGGTGGCCTGAGAGTACCTGTGAGGCTTACGGCTAACGTCGATGTGCAAGGTGTTGCCACTCTCGTCTTAGTGGGGTCAACATCCCGAGAGACAAACCAATCTGAATCTAAAACAAAATTGACTCTATCTGTTGAGGCATTCAGAGGCTCGTATCTAGCCACTAGAACAAAAATTGTGATAAGCGTCAACTTTTGCCCCCAGTTCACGCGGTTTTGGTGTGCTCCGCCCCATAGTTGTGAAAAGGACTCCAGATATTACTCATAGAACGGTGAAAGTCATTGATCGAGTCATAAAAGGTGGCGGAATGGCTGCTGGCATGCGAACCCATGATTATCACTATGATGTGCTGGCCAAAACCTGTTGCCGCAATGGTTCACTGAATATGGTGGCAAGAACTCACCTCCACAGAGTGCAAAATGTCCCGTTAGGACAAAAAGTGGGCGGATGAAGAGTTGCGAGCTCTCTACTGAGAGTAACTGCAAGACGGACCGTTCACATATTGAAGACTTACTTTCATAGTGCTGGGAATGTGAGAAAGTAATGCGCCCCTCGCAAGTGACCGGTGTCGGTTTATTTACGAAAACAGCGATACTCACTCTGTGGAATAGAATCAGGGCTTTAGTTGGCGCTGGGCGTAAACTTCAGCAAATCGTTTAATACAGCCGTAATGCAGATAAAAGATAAGAAATAAGCCCCTGCCAAAAGCACCCGGTATTTCCAGTGGCATCACAAGTGGGACGTTCATACCCTTCTACCCGAGCCCTCTGGCTAGGCCGAAGAGATTGAACGGAAGTACTGAGACCTTAGCTACATGCCGAGTTCCTCAAGATACCATAGTATCAATTACCTTCTCAGGCAAATCCGCAAGTTAGGCGGTATGGTCTGGGTGCCGGGACAAATTAACTCGTACACGCATTGCTCCGTCAGCCGGGATTCAAAGGCGAAGCTCCATATTTGTGAGATCACAAAAACAACCTCCTTCAACCTGTGAAACTCCGGTGTTTAATTAATCCATGCTATACTTTAATCACTTGGTAAACTTGGTACACAACTTTTCCAGCACAATCTGCGCATAAGTTAACTGGAAACTCACATTTACGCAGCCCAACATCTGATAACCTCAAATTGTTTATGATTGATGGGAGATCGGGCCACTTAGCGGTGGAATGCTAGGGAGAGTTTAAGTCAAAAACGTGGCCCCTGTTTTCAAACATGCTTTAATATGTAACTAATTATGGCTTCTAGCAGCGTGTCCGAAAGTTCACAGTTCCGGAATGTTACCATAAAATCATGTTTGTACGCCGGCTTGGTTGCTGCTGCGGCGCTCAGATCAAGATATGGGGACAATTAGGTACGCAACTGAAACATGCGCCTTAAAAACCCGACATTGCAAACGTGTGTTTGATGGTGGGGTCAGCAAACCCTCTTTTTAAGGGCCGACTCTTAACACGTCCCATTCACGGACTTTGGAGACCAAGAGGCCTTGGCAGAAGTTTTACGGCTCAATACCGATCTGGATGGTTAATCTTGGGGGCCGCATTGACACCTCATACAAAGGCGCAGCCTATTTTTGATGGACCGACACTGAAGGCTACAATGCGAACCATGTCTTTTAGTTGGGTAACGGATTGATTTGCTCTGCAATACTGTGTCTCATTCATACACGGAACGGTGGTTAGACCCGTGAAAGAGCAGGAAGCAGCGAACGAGCCGAGGGACAGTAAGACCTATGCGCAAGATGCCAAAATTGGAATGCATCAGTCCAGCTCTCGGTCTGATATGTGAAGGCATTTTTTCAGAAAAATGTGAGTGGAAAAGGTTTGGCGCAGCGTTTCGCTCAACAAACCTTAAAAAATTAATTACAGGTTTAAAATTACATGCATTGGTCGCATCGCTTTGTGGTTCTTTCTACCCAGGTTTGCAGTAGCAATGAACGATAACGCAACGCCGGTGATAGAATTTCTGCGGTCTAGCCAGTATGACGTAAGTTTAGTAAAACACCTGTAGATTCACGTCACTCCCTTAGGAAAACAAATTGCTCGCATCTATTTTCTGGATTTGGTTGACGTGTCGGCCTCACATTAAGAAGCTGAATTAAATTTCAGACAGCACTTTTCGAGCTAAGCGAGAGATGCACCGTTGTATCCAGTTAGGCAGTTTGGCGCTGCAGTCGCAATCCGGCACTCCAGCGTTTGTTGGAAGTACACACGGTCGTGCTGCAGTTTCTGTTGAAGTGTTCTCCTGTCTATGTGGTTCTATGATCCAGTTTCTTTTTTCTCGACCGGTTAATTGTGCGGTGTCCAAGCCTTCTTCTGGACCGGGCCTCTCTTCGATATAGTCCGCTAGGCGACTGGGCATCCACTGTCTTTGATATGCTAGCAAGCTACTTCGCAGGGGGTTAGGGACCACGTATGCAGCGTTACCGCTTTATAGCTGAGCATATATATGTGCAATGCATTTTTCAGCAAATGCACTGTGTATTTGATTTGTTTAAGTGAACGAATCTTCATGGTAAACAATTACCTGTAATTACAATGCAGTGCTCAATGAAATACGATATCTTCAAAACGTGATTCGCCTGCAATGAACGAAGGCTGCCAGGCAATTCTGCAGCCACAATAGGAACTTGCTACAGCCACAGTATATTCGTTGACAAGAACTGTGTGGGAGTATCATCTCTGTAAGTACAGTTTATCTAGAATCTTCTGGTCAATCAAAGGGTTATCAAATTTCAGTTCTTCGTGCACTGTAAAACGTTATTCTAAATAGGCATTGTGGCATAAACACTAATTAAATCTAAATAAACAGTGCGAGTTATAAGGAAGATAAGTCATACAGATCATGATAGATCATGCTCGTAGGCCAAGTGTTCTGATACATTGCTTGATATTGCACTGAAATTATTCAGGTGTTGCGGAATAGCATTGGAGTTCTTAACCTCAAGCTGTGAAACATAACAGGGATTTTTTATCTGGCTACAGGAAGTTTCAAGATAGTTTTCCATCCGATGTGTACATGGTGAGCTGCTCACGATAATGCATTTCCATCATAAAGTGACCACTGAGACCACAGTAACTGAAGGGGAAGCTAGCAAACTGAGTTGAAATTGCCAAAGTGGCTATCGTCGCCTGCACCATGCAGCAATGAGAAAGTAGCTGACACACACGAATAAACATATGGCTAGGTGCCCGCAATGCCTAATCAACTAAACAGGTGCACCTACGTCAATCATATCTAACAGCTGAGTAAGACAAGATGACACACACGACCAACATCAAACGCACATCTTGGCTGAAGAAGTCGGTGGGCCAAATTGGATGGCTTTTTTTATCTGTTTGATTTTTTGTTTTTGGTTTTTGTTGGGAATTTAGATTAATACATGCATCCTAACTGTAAATGTACGGTATTCCCGCTGCGTGGTGTTTTACGATCTTCCGACATCCGGAAAGAGAGGAAAACAAAATTCAGCTGATTAGAGTGTCTCTACGGGGCATGTTGCTGGCAAAACAAAAACAGTACTTGCTGCACAAGGCAGCACCCTCGTATAACCGAGCATGAAAGACGTCATATTCAGTGGCTGATTCCTATTGCGTTAAC